AAGAAAGAAAGAAAGAAAGAAAGAAAGAAAGAAAGAAAGAAAGAAAGAAAAAGTATTTTCCAATGGCTCCATCTAAATGCAGCCAACTGGGTTTTCCAGTTTTATGGGAGATTTCTGAAGTTCTACCCTGAGGTCACCAACTTGTGGGAAAGTACTTGTGATTTCTCCCTCCCCAGCCAATCAGTGCTATTTTCACACTGCTGGGGAATGACCCTAATTAGGCTTATTAAAGTCAGTTCTTTATTAATTGCGTGGCCACGATCCTGCAAACACCTCTACATATGTACAGATTACTGATGGGAAGAGCTCCTGCTAAAACCAGTGAGGCTGGATTAAGGCTGAAAGCTGGATGTGTTTATCAGGGCTGGTGGGAACAAGGCATTCACTGCATTTTGGTGTAAGAGAAGACTTTGTGATCACTGATGTGTTCAAAATAGGTTGTCTAGAGAGAGAAGTAAGATTTTTATATAAAATAAGCCTTGGAACAATAATTTTCTCAAATTAAAGCACAACAGGAGGATTGTTTTTCCTGTCAAGGAACAGATGGGTTAACTCTTTTATACCACATTGTTGTGACTGAGCACTGTACTGGTGTCCTCAGGCCCTGCTGCTGCTGCACCAGTTGCAGTTTCCTCATGAGTTGTTCCCCCCAGGGCAGTTTCCCAGCACAGGCAGGAGCAGAACTGCCCACAGAGAGCCCTGGGAAGGCTGGTTCCTGTCTCACACAGCTCCACCACCCAGAAATGCTGTTGCCGCCCGTCCTGGTGCCACAGAAGTTAAGTGTTAAGTGCAAGAGATGACAAGAGGCTTGAAGCTGTGCCAAGCCTGCCTGAATCCATCTGACCTGTAAATAAGGCTGGCCTTGCACCCTGCAGGGCTGGCACTCTGTCCTGGCTGGGGATCAGGTGTCCCCTGGGCACTGACAGGAGCTTGTCCCTCAGTCCTTTCGTGCTCTAGTGGGACACAGCACTTTCCTTCATGCAGCTTCTGAGCCTTCTGCTTGTCAGGTCTCTGCTGCTGGGCTGTGATCTCCAGGAAAGGCCTCCCAGTGCCTTCCTTCTGTGACTAATTGGAGCCTCAGGAAGGAGATGTGCTCCGTGGGTGTGAGTGTGCCCCGGGTTTGATTCTCTGCAGCACATCCCATTGAGAACTTCCCAAGCTTCACCACTGCCACGGCTCACTGTGCATTTTCTCCTCTGGGTTGTGGTTCATTAGGTCACAAATTAAACTTATTGCTCCTTAGATAGAGGCTACATGAGAGCATCCCATTGAGTTGCTTAACAGTTCTTGCTTGTTGGTGGTTCTGAGCTGTTCAGGAGCCTGGTTTTGAATGTGTTGGAACAGATGGAAAGAGTTCAATTGATTTTGGGGGGAAGTTTGCTTTAGGCCATTCACGGAGAAGAAAGGATACCACCTGAAGATGCTCCTTGAGAGCATTCCTTCCTTTCCACTGAATTCCCAGGAGCTGAAGAGGTGGGCAGCCTTATTATGCAGAAGAGCCACCACAGGTCAAGGGAAGCCCTCAGCCCTCGCCTGGGCCCTGTGGGCAGCTGCCTCTGAACAGTGGCTGCTCTCACAAATCCATCTCTCCCATTTGGGGAGCTCTAATGAGACAGGAGGGCTGGAATCCTTCCAGCACGTCGCCCCTGCTGGCTGCCCTCCCGTTTGGTCATGCTCGACGCTGAGGTAAATAGGCCTTTCATGAAACCCAACACCCAGCCCTACCTAATCCCCCCTGCCTTCAAACTGTGGGGGCTAATCAGTTGTTTTGACATAACTGGGATCCAAATTCTATGAGGAACATGGCCAAGAACAGTTCAAATCCAAGACCAAGATTAATGAGAACTTCAAAGAAATTTACCACCAAATGTTACTAATTTAGTGCACCCTGTGTTTGAAACCAATGACCTAATTGGAAACTATATTCTTTAAAAGCTTTTATGTCCCAGCTCTTTAGTATTCGGGAGGTGACTTGTGAGATCAGAGAGGGTTTATGTCATTTGGTGGGATGGGACTGTGGATTTCCCCTCCCACCTCCCTAAAACTGGGAGAAAATATCCTGCATTAGGTGATCGTGCTTTTAATACACAATAAATAACAGATTCATAATCAGACAAACAATTTCCTCGTGCTCTCCACTAACTGAGTATAATATTACAAATCCCTTAAAGCTGGTTAGAGAGATGGAAAGGTCTGATTAACTTTGCTGTTTAACATATTTCCAAAAAATCAGCACGTCCAAAAAAAATGGATTGATGTAGAAATGCATGTTGTTGCACAGGGCTGCTGGGGGTACATCTGCCTTCCCACAGTTTCACCAAGGTCTAAACAACTATATGTCCTTCACTTGGCTAAGGATTGGGGAAAAAGTCCTGAGGAGAAAATCAGGTCACTGATGCCTTTAACAAAGATCAATCAGCTTGCTGTGGTCAGCTCAAAAGTCTTCTCTGAGTCTTACCTTCTTCCTAGCACTGCTCCAGGGGTCTGGACTTTCCTGAGAGCATCTTGCTGTCACCTGTGAGGAGGTTGTTTGTCCTAAATCCAACTACAATGATCCTCACCCAAAGCCAGGATGTCACCCGTGGTGGAGAACTAGAAGGATTTTCCCAGCAGATGAGCTCAGGGACAGTGAGGTGAAGGTGGGACTTGTCTCTCCTGCTGCTGCAGGTGAAAGTCTTGTGTAGATGTCGATTCTAAATCACAGCTTTCTGTTCATAATGAGGAGGAAAATGTTTCCACCTTGGACACCTACTTTAGTGTGGACTGTACCATCTCCTGGCTCTGGTTCTTACTCTGCTCACACTGCAGGGAGACTGTGGGTCAGCTTGGATTTGTATCTTCATCTCCTGAGCATCAGTGAGGATCAAAAAATCATAGAATCATAGAAAGGTTTGATTTGGAAGGGACCTTAAAGCCCATCTCATTCCACCCCCAGCCACGGGCAGGGACACCTTCCACCAGCCCAGGTTGCTCCAAGCCCCGTCCAACCTGGCCTTGGACACTTCCAGGGATGGGGCAGCCACAGCTTCTCTG